AGCCACGTGCCGTCGACCATGGATAGCCCCAAGATACCCTCGAAGGGGAACTGGGAAAATTGGTCCGAGGTGACATTGGCAACGCCAAAGGGCATTGTCACCTCCAACCCCGCGATGCTGATACTGTCAGACACAACGTGCCCGCTCACTTCTCCGGAGCCATACTCGACCGAGTAGCCTTCTTCGGTGTCCTTGTACGTCTTCGAATCGTTTGGTCCAAATGTATTATGCTTGGTACATGCGCTAGTGGTGCAACCCGAGCCCATAACCCACGTTGTACTAGCACCCGTATCGACAAGCATGTACATCTTCTTCCCTTCGGAGCCAAAGGCAGCCTCGACAAAGTACGAGTAGTCCGTCCCGTCCTGGTCGATTCCCACAGCGTTGCTGACTGAGGGCTTGACGGCGGAATCTACATGGTAGTTGTTGTCTCGGTTACGAAGAGCTGGGTCCTCGGATGTGGAACGAGTGCGCACTTTGGACCCGTACTTAGCTGCTAGGTTCTGAGCAACTCTTGAGAGCTTGTCTGTGTGGCTGTCTCTGGACTATATAGAGCTACCTGTTAGTATATATCCAAGCTTTGTGGCCACGAGCTTAACATACAACTGATCGTTTCGAGCTCATCTTAAATGTTACAAACCCAAGTTGCGGGTTGGAATGGCTAGGAGCATCTCGCTTTAGATTGCCATGGGATTTCGAGTTAAATGTGACGAATCCCATGTTGTTGGAAACTTCTCGGTTCTCTAAACTGGCATGGCTGTTGGAGTTTTCGTCTGTAGGGAGACCCTGGACAAGAGCCGTACTCCATAGCAGGAGCTGTAGCGATAACCTGCTTTGATGCATGTTGAAGAGTTCCGCAACGTTCTCTCCCGACTCGAATTACCAAGTGCCTCGGTTTCCGGTCTAGGTCGGTTGCTGTAGTTGAATGATAGCAAATCACGCCGTCACACACATTCGGATCCAATACCGCGTAGCTGATTTATATAGGGAAAGCTTGCTGAGAGCGGAAGCAAAATGCTACGGAGCCAATTGGGTCCTCGAAGTGGTATACTCTGGCGATTCACAGCTCAAGAGTACCAGACTCTCTGGTCTAGATATTATAGTATTAGATATTAAGAGAGTGTCGTTGATAAACCAGAGAGCTAAGAAAAAAAGAAATTGGCCGGGAGGGAAAAGCCAGAAAGAGGAGGTTGTCCGTGGAGAGTAGATACAAGGCACGTAGGGTTTCGTAGGAGTATTCGATATGTCGATATGGATTCCAAACCAAGTGCGCCGCCGGGAGAAACACGTTTGATAAATAAGACAGGTAGAGAATTCCAACCAGGCCGCCCCGGTCTATTTCAATGAAAAGAGAGTAAACCAAAACGATCGGGTATGTGGCAGTGAAACAAAGACAACGACACACGCCAACAATAGAAAAAAGCAGATATCAGATGGCTGTGGAGAAGGTAAGAAGTGTGAATACCTAGTAGAGGTCGGCAAAGACGGAGGAGGAAGGAAAGTTAACGATTCAAACGATCCCCCCCCTCAACCCCTGCAGTCATCAAGCCTAGTATCTTGGCCTTCCTGTTGGTTGGCTCTCTAGATGAGGATAGCATTAGACTGCGGGATAGACTAGGTACGAGGTCTGGTACCGTGTACGTTGATTGTTCGGCCGTCAGGTAGCCGAAGCTGTCCATTTCTTCCATTTCTCTCCGTGTCCATCTCAAAATGATCAATCGGATTAGCACTAGGGGCACGAACGCTCAAGGGAGAACCCCTGCTGACCAGGGGCTAAGCAGAGATAGCGCTATTTGCGGGCGCACGGCTTTTAATCTACTTAAAGATGACCTTGGAATGCCATGCGGCTATGGCGTTGTCCAAGTACCTGTAAAGTAGTTTCTTATTATAGTGATCTGCTTGGGAAATTGGGTCTCCCTCTAAACTGGCTGATGATTGGTCTGTCTCTGATAGAGTCTTTTGTTTGCGGCGCAAAGCGGTCGTGAAGCTACCGTTCTTCGCAGCCTCGAGGCCTCTTTTCGATGCTTTGAGCTGTATCCCTTCCGGCTCTGCCACAACAGAATTAGAAGGCTACCTCGTAAACGAGCATTCGGGTGCTTGAGTCGTGACTCGTTGGTAGTGTAATTGGCGCCACTTGGTTGCTTGGCTTTGGAAGAATGACTGATACTAGAAGCCTACAGTATGTAATATGTACAATACGACCTCGGCGATACATACAAACCCCATACAACGCCTAAGGATAGAGCTAGGTAGATTGCTTGCAGGGATCCATCTCAGTGGCCCCATGTGGAGTTCGGACTGAACGGGTATTGATGAGCAGCTAAGAAGACGCTTGAGTCTGGAGATCCTTGACATAAGAAATCATATCCACGGATCGTGTCTTTGCCAACCTAGTACTATTATTCAAATCTCACATTGGCCGTCAATTGCGGCCCACAAGAGTCAGGGTACTCAAGAGTCAAGCGACCTAGCCTGGGGGGGAGAACTCTTTGATAAGTTAAGTCAAGATTACGCACGTCGGAATCAGCGAGTTCCACGAGTCAGATAATAGCTTGACTTGACTTGGGCCTGACCTGACTTAGCCTGGGTAGATCCTTTTTTAGTCGAGCGCAAATTTTTTATTTGGTATTTTATATGAATATTTTTAGGGCAATATTATTGGCTGTTGGTAAGGGTTTTGGGTGAAATATATTAGGTGGCTGATATAGCTAAGTGTGGCTTTATAAGGGCATAGGTCAAGTCGATATCTGACCTGACTCGTATCGGGCCAGGTATAGGTATACGATTATCTGGCCTGACCGACTCGTGGAACTAGCTGGTCGGAATAGAAAATAGGTCTGAAATGTTTGGCGTCAAGGTGAGACTAGTTTCGGTCGACACGAGGCAACCGAGTCAAAGACCAACCACGTAAATGCGGTAGAGGCCGGCGCTTGGCGTTACTAGCACCAAAGCCGTCATTCCAATTCTTATCAGCCGCTTAAAATTTCCCGTAAGCTCAAGAGGCTTTCAGCCACTTTGTAGTATGGCGGTTGGAAGCCCGGATCTCCGTCAAACCTTACAAGAGGATCGGATCTCGATCACGGCCAAGAAGTATCAGATTTCTGAGGTTGGCTGTTTAATACCCAAAATGTAAGGTGACGGGATAATTATAGGACGAAGCGTCTTGTGCCGTCCACGTTGTAGCAGAACTAAGCCCCTGCGTCAGCCCACCACCAAACTTTGGACCTATCAGCATCGTCGTTGGACTGCCGAGCCACGTCTTAGTTATTCGGTATGTACAAAGGCCTTCCTCAGCCGCCATCCGGATAAGCTACCTATGTATGTGCAACTGATGAGCCTCAACTTGAAGCAGACGTCCATCCTCTTTCGTCCATTACGAGAAGGAGGTGTGGAAGCAAGGGCGAGAAGGAAGCAAAGGGCATATAATATCTAGACTGGTCGTTTCAGTCGCTTGGTTATCTATTCTTAGGTGTTCGGTCGCCCAAGTAATGAGTTGCTGACAGCGTCAATACTGAGGCCTCTATGTTTCTTCCCCCAACGGTTGGCAGCTTTGCTGGACCAATTCGGACTCATTCCGCCATTTTGGACCCCGTTAGAGGGCGATACTTTTCGCACCAACGTTGTGCGCTATCCAGTGTTCTCCATTGACTACTGCTCTCCGGCGTTATGGAAGCGAGCCTCTTATTCACGGCCAAAAACGACTCGAATTGCTGATCACCAATGAATTCCACCGTCGCTATGGTGCGCAGAAATGTCCAGACAGACTCGCTCATCCAGCGCAACGAGCTAGTGATATCAAGGACTTCTGTAAAAACGGAAGAGTAGACTATACCGCGGTTTTCTTTGTCTTCAATCCTGCCAATAGTATAGACGAGAAAACTCCAGCTGGAAATATCGGTATGATTCTTCAAGCAGAACTCTTTAACATCAGTAACTATAGACTCAGCCAGTCCCGGATCACGATCCACTAAGAGCCGAGCGTGATGCCAGGCAGGATAGTTGCGAGGATGTCGGATTCCCGCTATCATGACAATATTTTTGATATCGTGCTGCAGGTCCACGACTACGTCGTGAATTGTATATAGGTGGAGTAACCAGCGACGATGTGACCAGAGAGTAGGTGATTTAGCATGCCGATACAGCCTTGACGTGAGAAGGCTATCCACAAACTGCTTCTCTCGTCTCAATGCCAACTCATCCGTCTCGCTAGTTTCTAGTGACGATATGAGCAGTCGTTTCCGGGTATTAGCGGCTGTCAGATGTTCGGGGTCCATAAGCAGCAGTACAGCTGTTGCAGCCATCACTTCGCTGCGGTTTACTGTACTGTCCTCATGATAAGCCTGCAGCAATTGGCGTGCAACGAAAAATGCTTGAACTAGCCTGAGCTTAGGAATTGCGACAGCCGTGCCATCTCTAAGGTAGTTGACCCCTGGTTGTAGAGGATGGCTCTTCCCAAGGAATTCGATCTCTAGCAATTCATTTTCTGGTAGCTTCGTGAGGATCGTCGAGATGTCCTTATACACCTCATGTGGATCATCAGCTTCTAAGTGAGCTAGAAGATCTTTATCTAGCGAGCGGGACATTGTGAACGTGAGCCACTGTTAGTCAGCCATAGAATCGCTTCGTAAGGTAAGAGGTATGCCATATAACCATTTATGCAGCCCTAAATACCAAATACCATAGTACATAAGTATATCATACCTAGTAGATTGTCCATAGTTCTAGAAGCTGGATACCAGGTAATACATACATACATACATGCCTGGGCACGTAAATATATGTAGATGGGACAGCGAATATAAAAGTGGGAGGAGATGGACCTTGTGATCTTAGTAGTGGGGTAATATGCTTTAAGCAGATACATAGTACTTATAAATGGATATTTTATCTTAGTAACGCATCCATCTAAGCATCATAGGTTTCAAGGCCACATATCGGATAGGCCACGAATTTAATGGAAGCTTTCTACTTCGTACTTTAGGTATTCTAACTTTAGGTAATGTTCTCGTGCCAAACTTGTCCGCTGTGACGTACCTATCTTTCTAACCCAAGAGAAGCAGTGCTCGAGACGAAATGATATCTGTACTGCTACTGGTATTCCTAGTCGAGCTCGGTGTTCACCTTGTGAATACTGTCGGCGCCGCGACAATAAATAATCTAGTAGGATAATTCTCCGAACATGCCAGGGTAGCATCATATCAATGGCTGACACGCGATATAGTTATGGAACCTATATCTAGCTTTCCCGACCGAGATCTCAAAGCAGGCGGCGGAAAAGAAGACGCTGCAAAAGGAATATCTTACGATCCGTCGCGACCTGAATGCTACGAGCAGTCAGGACCAGTTTGCGAAATGGGCGAAGCTCCGACGGCAACACGATAAGCTGATGGAACAGCTGGAGAAGATGAGTTCGTTTCCCCCCCCCAAGCACACGAGAGATGGATATGGATAATAGGAGATGAAGTTGACCGATTTATGTTTTAAGAAGCCTCGCACGAAAGCGCCAAATCAAAATTCGACAGTACCGTCAACATTCTACGTTGGTTAGCGACATCGGGGTTGAAGTTCCTCCTCCCTTTCTGGTACGCAAAGCAGCCCATGTTCTGGCTCCCGCACGGCTGGTTCCCATACTACGCCGAGTGGATTTTGTCCTTCCCACGAGCCCCCCTGGGTAGCGTTAGTATCGCATCGTGGCAGGTAGCCTGTGCCGGGATAGTCTCGTTGGTGAGCGATACCGTTACAGCGATTCTAGGATTGGCACTAGGTGCAAACATCGCAGAGCAACAACCAGTCAAGGTGACCGCAGAGAAGGGTCCCGTACCAAAGTCACAAGGAGCAAAGGCTAAGAAGGATTCATGATTATCCGGGATACATAAAGGTTATGTTATGTTACGTTACGTTACGTTGCGTATGGGCTAGGTATTGCTTAATCGACTAATAGATATGGGATATGTCTCTCATCTAAAATTTGACGCAGAGTTTTTCATCGCAGAATGCTAGGAACTCTGTAACACGATTGAGATGACTCTTGGCAGAGTACTTTGGGTCGCTCTAGGCAGCATATTGACTCTGACGACCATGGAGGAAAAGATCGTTAAAGCTTCGAAAGTGCCATTAATAATACATCATGGTTCTCTTACCTTGAATGAGCATATATAAAGATGCAAGTTTGAAGACATAGTTGTCCTGATTACTCGCATCTTCTAAACCAATATGATAAACGATATGCAGCATATAATACCGCATCATCCACCGTCATAGGTCTAATCCTCAAATCCAGTTTAGATGCGCTCTTGTGACTCGCACGTTCTGTATCATATCATGGAGAGTTGAGGAAAGGAAAAATATAAATTTTCTGAGTGCACCGCGAAATTTGAAGAGAAATAAAGAAGTGGATATCGACGCCACGGACCTATCAGAAGCTCGCACCCGCTAGTTCCTTATGTACATAGGTACATCGGGATGTATTGATGTCCACTCTGTCCTGATTGAATGCGTCATGTACAAGTACAAACACCTGTGACAATCTTCAATAGACCTAGACTCACACACTAATGTACCTAACACACTGACATCAAAGGTTGACTTGAGGTCTGGTTCATGTACATACCTACCTATGTATGTATCATCTGGCTAAGCTGGCCTTTGAACGAACGAAATAACTTGCTTTATTTTTATACAGAACTTACCTAGGTAGCTACCACATATACTGGCGGAATGGTTAGGATATATCTACCTGTTAGCTAGGTAACAAAAGACACGATGGCGATTCCCTGGGGAACGTGAGTTTACCTAACCTAACCTACACCACCAGCCGAAAGAAAATTTACCTTATATATAGGTCTCTACCTCGCTCAAGATATGGAAGCTAATATTATACGCCCACCTCCAGGATAAAGTCCCTCCTCATATTCTTCGGACCTATGCTTCTACCCAAAGCCATAAGCTACTACCGCTCCGTCCGCAATGCGCCCCGCGCCGCCGGCGTCTCGATACAGCCGGTGCCGCCTCAAGCTCTACGCGCCATCTCCGCGCTCGTCATGGGCGGTCTCGTCCTGCTCTTCGGCGCCCTCCCCCTCTTCTCTCCCGAGAACGTCTTCGTGCGCACGCAGTCCCGCCTACAGATCCCAACCGACGTACTCTTCAACCGCCTCGCATCTCTACGCCCCCTCTCCGCCGCCGACGACGCTTTGCGCGCGCGCTTCGTAAACCTAGAGTCTAGGTTGCTATACCTGCAATTCGGCCCCGAGGTCCTAGCCACCTGTCCCTTCTGCACCTCCGACGACCCCCGCTCCTACTTCTACTACGCCCTTCCCGCGCTCCTCGCACCGCACCTCATCAACCTCATTCTCGCCTCCGTCGCAACCTCCGAGCTCATGTCTGGGCCCTACGGCCCCAAGTGGCGCGCCACTGCCGCCGTAGCCAGCGGTCTCGGCGCCGCTCTCGACATATACCTCGCCAGCTCGTACAACTACCAAGCGAACGCGCGAGCCACACGCTTGACCGACCTCGATCCTTTCTTCTGGACCTCGCGCACAGCACGACACCTCGGGCTCGCCTCTCTCGACTTCCTCCTGGCTTACTTGCTGTACCTCTCCAGCACCAACCGAGCCTTCGTCGCCCCGCCGAGCGCCGTCGTGCGCGTGGAGGCCGTGACGCGGCAACTGCAGGGGACGAAGGGACGGTTGAATGCTGTGGGAATAGTTAAGAACACGGCGAACCGGGACGAGGAGCTACGGGCACGCAGTCAGGCGTACTGGCGGCACGAGGGTGTGGTGATGCGGGAGGTCATGGAGGAGCGCGAGGTAGTCGAAGGTGTGAATGATGCGCTACAGAATCGTATTGATATTGGCGATATTACGAGAGACGCTGATGCCTACGCATTGAACGTGCTGCCGAGGATGGAGGAAGCGGTTACGCCGGAGACGATTGTGGGATAACTAGGTGATAGGATAGCGTGTATAGATAGAGCCTCATATATGGATAATACGGAATAGAGTTCGGTTTAGACATAAACCCGAGTCTAGAGTGATACTAAGGATGTGACGGTATGCCTATCTAAATTCAACATAGGCTGTCTGAGATTGACATGTCTATTCAGACTGACTGGGTGGTAATTTCAGCATTATAGGTGGGTACCTAGGTAAGCAGTTGATACATATTAAGCAGCCGCCACTTGTTCGGAGAAAGAGTTGGGTATACGAAGGTGTAACTGATGGCTAAGATCCAAATGATCCATTTGAATAACCTATCCTTCCTCCTAGGAACTAACTGAAGCTGTCCCTTTGAACCGTATCCGACAAACGCCATCAGATGCTGCATGGTATGCTATGTGCCTTTATCAAAGCTAGCCGCAGTCGAAACAGTAAAATGCATTGTAGCGCAGATACACGGGTAGTATTTGCTACCTACCTAAATTAAGTACCTCGAGTATCCGTCCTCGTCGTGCCAGCTGTACTCGACATGCTGCCCTTCCTTGATTCTCCTGTTTGCGATGCCTCTTCCACGCTCCGTTCTAAGAATCCGGCCCACAGGTCGGCAAGGGACTCTTTGCTGGCCGAAGTTGGTGTCGTATCTGAAAAGAAGTCCGCGCTCAGAGACGGCGTACTAGGTGTTCTGTGGAACGGAGAGCTAGGGAGGCGGAGACTATTAGTAGAAGTTCCCGGCCGCGCCAGCCCAGCCTGTTCCCTTTGTTCGTCTGTCCAATTTAGGAGTCCTGCGATGATCTGGAGGATCTGGAACTTCTTGGGATCAGAACGGTCAAGGGCAAGGAACTGAAGGAAGTGGTTCGTAACAATTTGTCTACGTCAAGTTAGTAACCATGATATATGATATAGGGGTTATGACAATAAGATCCAACGAACCTATCGATGCTGTCCTCAGGCTTGGTCTTCTTGAGGTATCGAAGAGCTTTCGTTAGGTGATCGTTTAGGACGATAGCTTCATGTCTTAGCTTGCCAATGAGGAGGTTCTTCTCTTTAACCTCTTTCTCGAAGGGTGCAGTTCGTTCCAACTCCTTTTGTAACGATTCTTTAACCTTTTCTGCTTCAGTTGCTCTTGTGTCCGCCTCTTGAACGAGCTTCTTGAGCGCCTGAAGTTGCTCCTCGGATGTCTCAACCATCTCACGTAATTCTTTCTTGCGGGCCTCCTGGATTTCTTGAAGTGCCCTCTGGAGACTATCAACAGCTTGAGACTGGCTATCTCGCTCTGTTATAATTTGCTCGTAGCTTTCTCTTAGTGTTAATAGTTGCTCTTCTAGTGCAGCTGCTTTCTCGGAGAGGCTCTCTCTGATTGATCGTTCCTCCATGGCTAATACTTCCCAGTCGCCCATCGCATCCTTAGCCGCCTCTGCTTCTTCTCTTAAGTGTTGTATCTGCCGCGTCAGGTCTTCCTTTTCCTTTAATGAATTGTGTTGAGAAAGGTTATTCCTGCTCCGGAGGCTAGATAGTTCTCTTGTCGCATCTTGCAGTTCGGTCTTGAGCTTTTCGATCTCATCTTGGTAACTTTGTGCACCCTTTTGAAGCTCCTCGTTTTGTCCTTCTAACTCTTCAATACGTTGATTTGCTTCTTCTAATTCTTCCTTTCCTCTTGCTAATCGGGTACTAACGTTCTCCTTGATCTTCTCGACCCTGCCTACGAGGGTTTGGTATTGCTCCTCAACCTGCTCCTTCGCGGCTTCGGATTCTTCCAAGTCTGATTTGAGCTGAGCTGTTTCTTGGACGTGCGTCTCTTGTATGGTTTCGAGCTGTTTTCGCAGTTGCTCTACCTCTGCTCTTAAAGCTTCACGCTCTTGTGTTATAGCGTCTAGCCGAGCGCTTGTGTCTGTGGATTCGGTTGTTTCGTTCGTGACTGATTCGTGGGAAGGGTGTCCATTGGCCGTAGGCGACGTGGCATAGCCATTTGCGGATTCTTTTGGTATATTCTACCAACTTCATTAGCACTCAACTATAGAACCTGGATTCGAAGTTGGTCGGGCTCACTTCTACCGCTGGTGTGTCTGGCTCGTCAGATTCGTTGCCGTCATCCTCGGGATGCACTCCATCCTGGTTTATATCTGTGGCTTTAATTCCATCCTCGAGAGGTTTTGGCTTTGCGGCGTTCTTCTTCTTTTTGTTATTCTTTTTCTTAGCACCTATATAATACTATGTTAGTTATCGTAATCACACTGCAAGACGGCGACAAGAATGTTTAGCGACTAACCAGTATTTAACTGCGGCGAAGGATCTGTGGGAGTCATGATGAAATCATTTGTGAAGATTCAAGGTCTAAAACGGTAATATCAATTGTAGGTTGCCCTCGAATAGTAATTGAAGAGACGTTTACTATGTAAAAACGTTTAAACGTTGCGTCGTTCTGCTGCAAAATCACAAGTCTACAATCCACAATCCACACGTAAGCCGTTGCTGTTTATTGAGTCCCCTGGTACCTGTACATACATACACCCGGTACCTTACAGTGCAGTGGTTTATTTTAGGTAACGAATCAAATTACAGTTGATTAATTACCTAACATAGGGTGCTAGGCTGGCTAGCGTCCCACAATACAGAGCTGGTTCTAACTATCCAACCACTGTAACGGCAGGGACTTATCAACTGAGCCTCCTACATAACATGTAAAACATTTGTATGTACCTAGGTAAATAAAAGAGGCATTACATAGACGTCTACTTGACGATCGGATTTATATATATTGATACAAGGCACAGGTTGCCAGCAATGGTATAGTACTACCAATATGTATCTAGGAAAATTAGATATGAACTGATATTTGCCATGACTTGTCTTTGATCCCAGCTATCCAAAACTCACCACTTACAAGAGTCTAGACCATCTCGATGTGACGTCGAAGCGGCTAAGAGTTGTAGATGAATCATGAAGAATAGCCTGTCACACCTCGTATGAGCTTGTCCTCGAATACGAGATTAGCTTAGCAAACGGTCTCAATATTCCTCTTAGTATTATCTATTAACTCTAGTAAGAATAATTTCTATAGAATGTCGGTCTATGTAAGATCCATCCTCATTTCATGAAATCGTGACCTAAAAGTTCCGCTCTAAGAGCCCCCCACCAGTGGCTCATGGCTTTGATTAAGATGTGGCTTGTCGTGTCACGGACCAATCAGTCCTTACGAGTCACTTGATTGGTCAATTATTCATAATACAAAGATTTCCAAATTCCGAAGTTACCAATTTTTCTTTCTTCTACACATATTTTACCATCTTCACTAGAACTTCTTGAAATCGAAGCTGCTTTGCTCAACTATTGAGCTCTAATGGCTGGTTCACCCTTCTGGTCGAAGTAGAGCGAAAATTGCCCTTTATAATCCTGCTGTTTACCTGACTTAATCCACGGGTACAGCGGGTTCGCTATGTGCAGATATATCATCTCTCATGAAAAGGTGTATGTGGAGCGTGAAAACGGGAGATGATCAAAATAGAAGCATGTTTCCATCCATAATATGCACGAAATGTGCAGGTTTTTTTTAATAATAAAATACGCAGGCCTTTCCCGAAAGCAAGGTCTCATAAATTTATAGTAAACTAAGTAGGTATAAAAAACGCCTCGAAATCATTATGCAGCTACCTTCTTCGTCTTTGAAGACTTCTTCTTCCCCTTCTTGCTTGCCTTGGCTGGTTCCTTCACAGCAAGCTCATCCTCGGGGGAATTATGGCTATCCTCTTTTGCTTCTTCCTCGGCCGGTTCTGCCTCTGCTGCATCAGTCCCAGGTACTGCCTCAATGGCTTTCGGTACCTCGCTATCAACACCTTCAAGCGCAGGAGGATCACTGGCTGCTTCGTCAACCGACTTAATCTTGGGGCCCTCAAAATCATAGCCCATGCCCTGTAGTTTCTTTGCGCGTTTGTTGCGCTTCTGTTCTTCCTTCGTGATCTTCTGCGTCCATGTTGATTCGGTTAAAGGCTTCTTCAGATGATTACCAACCATCTTGTTTAATGGTACTTTCTTGAAGCGTCTGTTTGAACCTTTCCAGAGGTCGTCATGAATCTGTGACTTAGGAACAACCTTAACTTTCAGGATCCGGCCAAATAACAGATAATTATCCATAGTTTTTGAAACAATTCCTGCTACCGCCGCGGAGGCGAATTCGATGAATGCGAAATGTTTGCTAGCGCCTGTCTTCTTGTTCCTAGACATCCGCAACTTCTCAATTTTACCGAATTGGGAAAAGTAAGACCGCATCTCATGTTCGTAGAAACCATCTATCATCGCTATTAGCACCGTTACGGTCGAATTGATGAACTAACTTACGCGGGAGGCGGCCAACATATACAACGCCACGTTCTCCATCCGCAGAGCTGGAGGATTTGAGCAGTTCCTTGGATGCTTGCGGGATTTCGCCTACATCTTGTCCTTCTTGAAATTGAGCACTGGTATCGACCATAGCATCTTCTTCGTCGCTATCAACGATATTTGCAAGAGCCTGAGCGTTATCGCGCTCATCATCTGAGGATTGCAGGGTTTCGTCTTCGTTTGCGACCTCACTCTCATCCTTCTTGTTCTCTTTCGCGGATTTGGAGAGCTTCGCCTTTACTGAACGGTCTGTTTTGGCCTTCTTCAATTGGCTATCTTCTTTTATCGACTTGGACTTTTTTGCCGCAATCGGGCTCGCATCATCGGCCGCTATAGAATTATTATAAGCTGACAGAAGCTAAGATTATGTGTTTTTCGTACTAACCTTTTCGTTTGGTAGCTAGAGTATCGGCCTTGCCTTTAGAGGCGGGTTTTGCAGCAGGCTTCGCGGCCGATATGCCGGCTTCTAATAAATATTATTAGCCCAATGATACCTAAAGCCGATAATTATAATATCCTACCCTTAGATTTCCTCTTCCTGAGTTCTGGTGCCATTTTGTTTGTATCGTCGACAATGTAGACCTAAGTGCAATGCGCTCTTCTACTGTGCTGCATAAAGTTCGAACTTTTTTTTTCCTTAGGTTGCGCCGTAATTCTGCCGTTGGAGCTTTGGCGGTGAAATAGATAACCCCCACTTTCCCCAGATAGAGGAAGTACGTACTTAGCTACATTGGTACTAACATTCGTCGAGGCTGCAACCGCTTTAGAATTAATTTAGGTATTCCGTACTACCTGAGAAAGGTGAATATTACAACTAACTTCTCAGCAAATGTGTTTGTACAGCTGTTCTTCAAGTGCTTAGAAACTGGGTTAATAGATCTCTTCTAAAGGCATATGAAACTTTCTATATGAAATCATATTTAGGCCTTGGTTGCAACCCAAATCTATGTTAACACCCCCTAACAAGTAACCACGTACAAGAAAAGCACCTCTAAAACCCATTTTCGATGCACGCCATACGACATACATCTCACTCCTAAGTCTTTGCGATATATTCCAATTCGCTCCTGATTAACTAGAAACATTCCAATCAATCCAAAGGTCTCTCAGCTCCCAAAATGGCTCCATCCAAAAAACCGTTGTCCCATAAAGAGATTTGGGATGATTCGGCCCTCATAGACTCGTGGAACGACGCGCTAAAAGAATATGAGGTATGTATCCAGGTTCTCATATTCTTGAGCTGACAAGAGCCGATGTCTAATTAACATTGTTTAGAAATATCATAGTATCCATAGGAATGGAGGCAACGTGGAAGACCTTCTAAAGTCCGACGAGTAAGTTCGCACCTATCACTCGAGTCCCTAGATTTATCGTGCAGTTACAGCATTTTATCCACATATATGTATGCTTACATGAAGATCATTCAAGAACAACTCCAGATGCCAAGAACGAGACTGAAAAGGCTCATCCCCTCGAAGCTGATTCCGAAATGGGAGTTGAAGCTACTGTAAGTCATAAACCCAACCCTATTGAATGGCTACCCTTGAGAGAATCCCAGGCGATCAATAAAGCTTGGCCTAGATCTCCCAAGATTCTAACGAAACACAGGATGGAAGACAAGAGAGCGGAACGTCGACTTCCCAGCACAGCCACCCGCTTGGTGGAGGTCCCGGTCCTGGAGGGCTACTAGGTTCAGGTGAGCTTCATATTAACCCTTGTCCCCGTCGAAATTCTAGAAAGAGGGTATCTCTGGATACGAAGGAGTCGGTCATGCTAATGATTATATTGCAGTGCGTGACGAAGGCCTCAAAAGACTATTGATGTCGTGGTATTATGCAGGCTACTACACAGGCCTTTACGAAGGCCAGCAGAACCAGACTCAGCAACAAGCATCTGAATAGAGAATAGAGGTGAACGGGAAACTTTAGAGATCTCATAACTCTAATCCTGAATCTAGTTAAAATCGTTGATGGGATTCTTGGTGAGATCGACTTGACAGGGCAGGGATCTGCAACGTTAGATGTTACAGGCTCTTGTGACGATAACGTCACATACATAGCTTAAATTCTGCGAGTGTGCGACGAATTATGCACCAGTTCCCATCCATAAGGAATAGTACAACGTAATACTACAAATTACGGAATGTTAATTGGAGGAGCAAGACGAAGAGACAAATTTGAGGCTACCATTACGCTCTTGATGAAGATCATGGCCTGATTTCTCCTTGCTTTGGGGTTGCGATTATCAGCCTAGCCATGGAATGCTCGTTTTCAGCTTTATTGAGAGGGAATAACTCCTATTGATACCACTTCCTTTTAGAGGCATCGTGAAATACGTGCTAATAAAAACATTGTCTTTTCTAATACTATTCATGGAGTCTAATTGATATAATAATCCGTATTAGCGACATATTTCCATACTAATCTAACATTTTGAATATTTCAGTAAAATACCCGTTTGATGGCAACTTCATAGTAAATTACAACCCTTAGTTAGGTGATTCCGAAACCCGGGCGACCCGTTACTAAGAAGCCGCCGCTAGCGTTGCCCTATTGGGAATTTTTCTAATACGTACGACGCTATATATCCACGAGTTGGGAGCGTTTAAGATGAATTTGAGGATGAGACTAGTCAAGAAACGGTGCATAGTGCGGAGGACTAAGGAGCAGGGATATACCAATGACAAGCATTGGCGGATCCAGTTTAGACTAGGCCAGACTCAAAGTCTTTTCTCACTTGAGTAAAGGTTGAGAACCAGGATATGGGTTACGATAAGGTTAACCCTTAAGCAGGAACAATCTCATCCGTCAGGGAGTTCGGATGGTAGGGTAAGGATCTCGGCACGGGTCCTTTCGCCATATGTAGAAACGTGTAGATTTCTTGGTAAGCATGCTTTTATTCATAGGAAAATTGAAACTAGCTTACTATGTAGGCATATATTAAAGGTCTACCAGAGAAGAAAGATAAAAAATCCGGCTCCGGCATAAAAGCAATAAAACGTGGTCCCCTTGAGTGTTCGGTATAAGTGCCAAGAACAGATCGCAATACGGACCCTGAGGAAGATTCAACGGAAGCGCTTCTCTGGTTTAGCTGTACTGGTCCGTAGGCTTTGGGTCTAGACTAATAGCTGTCATATTATATTATATAGGTACACTAAGCGGTAAACAATCGAAATAGCAGCTTTGCTGCAGTAATACAGATTCAAATTCCCTCTAGGCATATCCAATACATAGAATTGTCTCTATTGTAAGACTCATCGTAACTTTTAATCCTACATAGGAACTATTGTTCAAAACGTTTACTACGATAGCATTCAGAAGGAATAACAATTTCGGATTGAAAAAAAGTCAACTTCGGATTGGCTATCCCCAGCCTTGGCGTCCTAATAGGGGGTTGAGCTATGACCGCATTCCCCTGGTCTGTAGTCTTATAAGCGAGGGGTCCAAACGCCATCCGAGACAACTCTGTCACATCCACCTCCTACTCCAAGCCCTTGTACGTCTTGGAGCCGCGAAACCCGTCTTCTTCATGGGCCGCCCTAGTCCAGTATGGACTGTGCTCCGTCGTGGTGAACAATTAAGTGGCATACTTCCGGTTCCCGTGCGTCTCCAGTCTTGATCGGGCGCCCTTGGCCCCGGTAGGCATCCCCAGCTGCGTGCTGCACGGAAGTTTTTTCCTGTCCCTGTTTCGAGGGCAACTCCTGGTCAAGGAGGTATTATCTTAGGGTCCAATTCAAGCCTGACAGCGGGCTAGTAGATCGTCATGCTTGATTTAAGTAACGAGGTCCCCCTCTAGGGCCAGACCTTGGTTGTTTCTTTTCACTCCTCTTCAGACGACTTGTCCTGTGTATACGTTCTTTTCTTTCCATCGTCTCGGTGTGATTCTACGTCCTTGTTCATTCTCTTAATTACGAGCAGGCCCTCGCCTTTTGAAGCATTCTATCGCCAGGTTCATTACGGTCATTCAGGAATACCAATACTCAATATATAACGACCTCCCGTAAAAAGGAACATTAACGTTTAATTCCCCAATCTTCAAAAACCGTCAACATGAAGTACGCTACAGCTCTTTCGATTGCCGTTGCGCCTCTGGCCATCGCTAAAGCCGTTAACAACGTCTACCCCCAAAAGAGGACCAGCCACAAGCAGCAACTAGAAGAACTCGCTGGTCTTGGAGGCATTGGTGAGACAATCAACCTAGTACACGGCGTTTCGTTAGGACAGGCGACTCAGATTATCGTGATCTGGGCGAACCCTGGAAACGACGCTAAGACGACGACGCTGCACGAACAAGTCACTGTAACTCAGACAGTCACTGCTGGCGCGGTAGCAACAGCGATTGGAACTGATACCCTTGCTGCCGGAGCTACTACCACAGCAGCTGCTGGTGCGATAGCAACCCACACAGTCCAAGTCGGTGGCTCTGCCGGCTTAGTCTTCGTTCCCGACCAAGTAAAGGCCAACGTCGGTGACATGGTTATCTTCGAGTTCATGAGCATGAACCACACCGCTACCCAGTCCACTTTCGCCGAGCCCTGCAAGGCCATGGAGGGCGGTATGGACTCTGGCTTCCAAGCCAACCCCAACAACACCGTCAGCCCCCCTCCCAAGGTTGCCATGCAAGTCATGACGACCGACCCTCTATGTAAGTTTAAACCCCTTACAGCTCCTATCTAGAATCCTCAACTAACCATTACCTTAGGGTTCTATTGCAAGCAGAAGGGCCACTGTGGCAAGGGTATGACTTTCTCGATCAACCCTACCGCCGAGAAGTCCCAAGCCATATTCCAGGCCGCGGCTATCCAGCAGAACGGTACAGGAGCCGGCAGCGCCATCACTGGAAACGCTACCGAGACTGCTGTTGCCGCCCCCGCCGCCAGCTCTACAGAGGCTGCTGCCGCCCCATCAGGCATCATTCAGGGCACTGGCGCCATCGAGAACGGTGCCTGCGTCTGCGCCGTCCAATGCAGCACTGGCAGCTTCCCCGTGAACGCTGCCCAAGGTATCGGTGCCTTCGGTGGTTTCGCAGGAGGTATACCCGCGAGCATGATGGAGACTGTTTAAGTAGTGGGGATGGCGTCTGGGAATTACGACTGATGCCGCGGCTGTTGCTAGCGCGGATCTGAGATGTTCTGTATATCTTGGGGGTTTTATCTGAATGACTAGACTTCTTTTTTTTATTGCCTGGCATAGGGATTCTTTGTTTTAAACATATGACTGGATCGTATATTATAGGTGCACTTAATAGGTCATCAGATCAAGTAAAAATACCAATACTTAATCCAATACAATAATGTGACCGCCTGTTCAATGTGGAAGATTATTCTTAAGTGAACCAAGTATATAGCAGACAGATGTCCGGAAACAGTCACATCAAGGGAACACTACGGATTAATGATAATCGCATTCATCAAGGAACGAGATTGAGAAAGTCTAGACGCCGCTATGCACCTAGAACCCCGTCTGGTCGGAAAAAAAAATTCGCCCTATATCATATCGCAAAACATGTCCCTCTTATACCTAAGGTATGTAAATACGCCATTCGCTATGCTGGAAGTCCATTTACTTTCCGCCAGCAGCAGCGGCTGCCCTCTTCGCGTCGGCTAAGAACAAAGGATGAATCAGCTTACGAACAGAACACGCAGGTATATCATATAGCAGGAAATGATCTAGATAGCCGCGTTTTGCTCCCGTTAGAAGAAGAAAATATATCTCACCAGCAGCTTGCTTCTTGCGCATCATCTCGGCGACAGCTTCTTTGTCGCGTTGCATCTCAGTACCGCTCTTCGCGTTCTTTGATTTCTGCGCAAAAGAGCGGTTAGCATATCATGAACATTATGTCGTAAGGGCGTTCGCTGTTTTTAGTATCTCCGGTATACACATTAATTAATATCAAATCAGACAAAGTCTATCAACATATTTCGCTCAATAGACTTATTTCGGTTCGTTTCGAGTATCTCTACGACAAGCGATCGCGGGTGTTGCGGTAAAAGCGTGTAGGTGAATAGGAAGGGCGTAAGCAAAGCGGGAAGACTTACCTGAGCAGACTGGGCCTTGAGGTTCTTCTCGCGCGCCTTTTCACGCTGGTTGCCGCGGGCCATGGTTTCGTAAATAGACTATGTGGGGAGAGGTAGGACAAACGAGGGAAGGGTAATAGAAGCAGCGCTTAATACCTAAAACGCAAGTCGGTGACTTATCGGTCTGGTGGTTAAGATGGAAGGGTTTACAAGTTTAGGAGTGAGGAATCTAAAGTTAGGTTCATGTGTCCAATGTGTCCAATGTGTCCAATGTGTGTCTAGCCGCCAGCTGCTTAAAATAAAGGGCGCCACAGCGTACCGCAGGGGTGTTTCCCGCCTAGAGCCGCGCTGTTGGCTTATCGCTTGGTCAGTGCGGGCTGCCTACCGCAAAGAACTTCAACGGTTAGCCAATCAAATCATTTTCTAGTCACTGGTTTAACCGTTAGATATTCTGGATTTTTCTTTCATCAAAAATCGATTCGACTTAAACAGTGCATTTGTTAAATCTTTTACATAATTAATTAATAACCGATAAAATTTAAGTATAATTAATTGTAAAATAATTTAAAAAATATTTTTAATTTATTTTAATATTATTAAAAAAACTTTTTTTATTTATTTATATAACATTTTTTCGGAAAAAAGTTTTTGCTTTTAAATTTAAACCGAAAAAAAAAACTTAAAATTTAAAAACATAAATTAATATATAATAAAATTAATAAAATAAAACTTTTAACCAATTAAATCACTTGCATTATTAAAACTTAAAAAATATACTTAATTAAATTATTATAATATAAACATAAACTATTACATAAAAAAACTAATAAAATAAAACATTTAAATTAATATATAATAAAATTAATAAAATAAAACTTATAATTAATAAACGTTTATTTATAACAAAAAAATAAAGTAATAATAAAATTAAACTTTAAAAAAACGCGTTAAAATATATTAAAAAAATAAAAAAAAATCAATTATAAAAATTAAATTAATTAATAAAAAATAAAATAACTTATAACTTTAATTATAAAAATAAAACAATTTTAATTATTATTATTATAATAAATAAACTAATTAAATAAAATACACACATTTTACCAAAAGTTTTAAATTTATAACTTAATAAATAAACCAATTAAATTAATTATAACTTTAATTTAATATTACTTTAAAACGTTTACATAATTTTATAATAAATAAATATATAACTTATTATTTAATTTTAATTTATTTTATTACATTTAATTAATTAATAATTAAAACAAATTATTTAAATAAATAAAAATTTTATTAAAATAAAAGATAAATATAATATAATTTTTCGAAATAACCTTTTTATATATATTATTTTTCCTTTATTTAAAATTTACCTTTTTTTACTTTTTACACTTTTTTATTTAACTTTTTTTAATATTATATATATATTATTTACTTATTAATATTATAATATTATAAATTTTACTTTTATTTATTATTATTAACTTTATTTTATAATATATATTATTTTATTTAATTTAATTTTTTTAAATTATTTATATATATAACATTTTTTTTTATATTAAAATTTAACACTTTTTACTTTTTATATTTTTTTTTTAATTTTTTTTAACATTATATATATATTTTATATTTATTAATATTATAATATTATAAATTTTACTTTTAACAACTATTATTAACTTTACTTTTAAATATATATTAATTAATTTTTCTTTTTTTAATTAATTTATTTATTAATTTAATTTTTTAAATTAATTTATATATATAATATTTTTTTTTTATTTAAAATTTAATTTTTTTTATTTTTTATATTTTTTTTTAAACCTTTTTTAACATTACCCACATATTTTTTACTTATTAATATTATAATATTATAAACTTTATTTTTAATTATAACTGTTAACTTTATATTTAAATATATATTAATTTATTTTTTTTTTTTTAAATTAATACATTTATTAATTAATAATAATTTATATTTAAATTTTTACTTTTTAAACTTTAAAATACTTAATATAAATATTATATTAATTTAAAAATAACCCGGTTAATTTTATTATCTGCCGTTTTTCATTAATTATTAATAATATATTTAATACCGTTAAAATTTACTTTTTATTAAATTTAAATTTATACGGTTTAATTTATTAAAATAAAATATTATTATATATATTTTATATTAATAAAATAAAATTTATTTATTAACATTATATATAATTTAATATTAACCCATTTATAAATTATATTAATAAATAATTAACGTAAATAATTTAATAATATAATAAATATATTAACTTTAAATTATTAACTTTAAAATTTTAACAGTTAAAATTTTAACAATATTTAAAAAACGTATTAATATATATAACCATGTAATATACCCATTAAAATCAACGTTAAAATGTTAATATACCGCTTTTTTTTTTATACTTTTTTTTTACATTATTTAAATTAATTTACAAAAAAATTTTAACGTTAATAACCTTTTGTTATTAATATAACCTTTTATATAATTATTTACATAATTAACGTTAAATACACTTAAATTATTAACTATTAATAATATAAATTTAACTTTATTTTAAACTTTTTATAATAATTTAATTTAAAATATTTAAAAATTTTATATTTATTATAAAAAATAATAATTTAATATATAATTTAAAAATAACATATACCGTAATTATAAATCTTATAATATAAACTTAAAATTAAATAATATATACTTTTTTTAGTTAAAAATAACTTTAATTTTAATATTATATTTAAATCTTTTTTAATATTAATATAAATAAAAAAAATAATTATATTTTAATTTTATTATTTCGTTAAAATTTATTAAATTTAAAACTTATAATACCGTTATAAAAATTATATTTATCACTTTTTTTAAAATATTAATTTATTATACCAATAATTATTAAAATTATTTAAAAAATTTAATATTATTATATTATAATTAATTAACTTTTAATTATAATAACAAATTTTTTAAAATTTCCATATTTATTAAAAACATATTATATAATAACTTCGTTTTTTATAAAAAAACTACTTTAATTATTAAAATATTTTAATAAATAAAAACCAGTTTTTTTAATTATTAAAAAATAATAATATATTATTATAATTATCGTTATATTAATTAAATAATAATAATAAAAATATTAATAATAATATTTTAAATAATAATTTTACCGTTTTTATAAATAAATATAATATTTCCGTTATTTTTAATTTAATTATCCCGTAACCGTAATTAATGGAATATCATTACGTAAAAATAATCACGTAATGACACGTGACTATTCCCCACACAAAAAGCAATTTTTTTTAAATAACATTTACACACATAATTCGTAATTTAATATAACATTAATTAATTAATATAATAATAATTATCGTAATAACTTTATTTTATATTATTTTTCTTTTTTTTTTTTATTTGTTACATTATTCTTTTTTATTACTTAATCCGTATAAATACTTTATTTTACTTATATTAATCAATAATTAATTAAAAAACAAAACCATAAATCAATAAAATTAAAAAAAAACATAAAAACGTTAAACGTTTTTTTTTTTTTTTTAACAAAAAAAAATAATGGCTTAAATAACCATTATGTTATTTTAAAATCTCGAAACTTTTAAATAAGTTAAAAAATTTACGTTTATCACGCATTTTACAACACTTTTATTATATTTATAACCATTTAACATAACTTTAATATAAAACAAATATATTAACGATAATATTTTAAATATTAATTTAACCATTAACTTTAACGATTTTAAATTAAACAAAATAACGGCAAATAAAATTAATACGTATTATACGGAAAACTTTACGTATTATTTTAAATACCATAACAATAAATGTAATAAAAAAACATGGGATAATTTTAAAAAATTTTTTACAAAATAACAAATAAAATACTTTTAAAAAATAAACCGTTTATTTTAATCGTTAATAACAAATTATTTTTTATATCACGGAATATACTTTAATGAAAAAAAAACCACTTTTAAAAAATTAAAAACAATAATTAACGTTAAAAAATTCCCGAAATTTCCACTTTAAAAGTACGCACGTTTCGTAAAAATTTTCCATAATCGTTTTATTTTAATAAACAACCTATATTACGTACAAAAGCTTAATAAAATCACCACGGCAATAATACAATTTAACTTAAAAATAACATCCCGATTACTTTAAATGTAAGCAATAATATTAAAACCAAAGATAACAAAGTTAAACCCATAAATAACACCGGAGCTAATCTTATAAAAAACACAGCCAATTTTAACGGCACCGAAACTTATCCCACAATTAATGATACCGAAGCCAAGCCCACAAACAACACCAAAACCGACTTTACAAAAAATATAATCGATTTTACAAGTAATCCCGTTAAGGTTTAATAAGTTTATTACGTATACTTAACCGATAAAATCACCATAAAACATTACCAATTATATTAAAGTATATTATAATAATAACAAATATAAATATAAAAATAATAAAAAATATAATTTAATAAATAACATATTAAATAAAAAAATTAAAATCGTTAAAAATTTTCATTATAAAATTAAAATCGGTTAATTATATCGAATTTACCATAATACGCAATTATCTTTAATTAACTTTAACCGATAATTTTTACAATTTAACAAAATAACCTCGTTTTTAATTAAACGATTTAACCGAAAATAACCTTGTTTTTAACCAAATAATCCGACCGAAAATAACCTTGTTTTTAATTAAACAACTTTTATTTTAACCGTTTTAACCAATTAACTTTAATTAACTTTAATTAACACGATAAAATTTTATTAATAAAAAACCATATTAAATAAAAAGATTTAACAAAATTTAATTAAATAAAAAGTTTAAATACGAGATTAAATCAAACGAAAAAATTTAATAAAATTTAATTAAATAAAAAATCCAATTATATACTTAACCGTTTTAACTTAACTTAACTTATCCAAGTTAATTTAAACTTATTATATGTTATTATAATAAATTAAAACTTATTAACAATTACGTTATAATATAAAAAAAACAAATTAAAAACAAAAAAAAAAAAGAAATTATTAATATTAAATTAATTAAATTATATGTAATTACATCATACAAAAAAAAAAAGGAAAAAAAAAAAAGTTACCAATAATAAAATATCATTACGTAAAGATAATCACGTAATAACACGTAACTATTTTTTACATAAAAAACAATTTTTTTTAAATAACACTTACACACATAAT